AGAACGGGAAGATTATCTTGTATTGCCGAGAGGACCCTAAGAACAATCACACATGTTCTGAGGAAGGCGGCCGCAGTTCAGGGTGTTGGTGTTGGTGTGCCATATAGTAACCTCGAGTGAGTCTCGGCAGAATACAGAATAAACACACCACAGCACACACAAGGAAGCAGAAATGTTCCTGACAAGTCAAGTAAAGCATGCACTACTGAAAGACTTGATGACACAGACGGCATCTCAGGTAGATGGGCACAGCCGGGGCACAGAAGGAGACAGTGTGTGTGGGTTAGCTTGTACACATGACGTTCAAAAATAGCTAGCAGGTGGGCGTGAAGGACTTTTCGGGGATGATGAGCATTTTCTCTATTCCAGTTGGGTTGCTGATCGCATGATGTGCATGTAAAAGTCATCTCTTTATGAGCCAGTGTGTTTCAGTGTATGAAAAACTGGCTTATGTTAATAACACCCGCCTAGCCACTCAACTCCTCAGATGGGCGGCTGGGAGCAAGGCCCAGATGTCCCTCCTGTGATCATGACTTTCATAGTTTCCCAGCCCTGTTCACACATGCCACTGTCAGAGCCACAGCCAGGTTTCCTGGAGACTATTTATTTTCTTTTAATTAATTAATCTGTTTTAAATTAATTTATTTCTTGGCAATTTCACACTCACACACACAGCATATAAAATACATTCTGGTCACACACAGCACCTGCCCTATCTTATCACCATCCCTTGCTCCAAGTCTCCTCAACAAGTACCCTCCCACCATCATTTTTAACGATTTTTTTAAAGTTATTTTTAAGTATGTATGTGTTGGGGTGGCATACACACCGGTGTCTGTGGTGGCCAGAACTGTAGGATCCCCACGGAGGTGGAGTCACACAGGGCGTGAGGAACGGAACTCGGGTCGTCTGCAAGAGCAGCGTGTGCTCTGAGCCATCCCTCCAGCACCACACCATCAGGATGGTGTGCGTGTGACCTGCTGGGTTTAAGCCGGGCTGTGTACTCGGCGCGCTGTGACGCATCCGTTGCAGCTTGGGCAACTCACCAGTGGCTCCACCGCTAAGGACACCGACTTCCTCTCCCACAGCAGCCATCCGCTGCCAGTCACACTTGCGGAAGGGGCCAGGCCCCGCCCACAAGCACCTCCATTATCTATGATGGAATGCTGAGCCTTGTACAAAGTCATCCCAGCCGCTTTGCGATTGTAAGTGTGACAGAGGCTTAGTGCCTGAAACACCGCACTTCACAGCCCCCGTTCTCATCGTCTGGCCCTTCCATTCTTTCTGCACCACAGGGGTGTCTTGAGTGACTCAGTGTGGATCAGAACTACCCGACCACCACCGTCGGTACAGAGGTGCTGGCATCGACTGCAGAATCCCCTTCCATGGAGGTATCCAAGTTACATAGATTCTGTGTGGGTGCTGTAACAGAATGGGAAAGGCTATGACCTGAAAGAGCCCATTGGCCTGGGAGGGCATCCGCCTTGCCTGGGGACACAGGAGTTAACTATGGCCCCAGCACCCGACTTTGAGCCAGCTTGGCCTCTGCTGCAGCTGGAGAACAACCCAGGAAGCCTTCGTGGACCCAGAGTTAGCCTGGGTGAGGCTGAAAACATCAGCCTGGCTTTCAGAGGTCTGGGACTAGGCCTGTTTGCCTCAGGGACCCTGACGTCGCACATAGGAACTGTCCCTTGGGAACCCTTGACACCAACACTGTGACTTCCCTGCTCCGCCTGCCGTGCAGCCTCTGTCCTTGAACACCACGGTTCTCCTCACTCATTCTGCGTATCTTTCTGGTCTCAGATTTAAAGTCTTCTTTACTCTTCTAAAACTAGGTTGGACCACTTACCTCTATTTCTTTTTCTTCTTAATTACCAACAAACCGTTTTTATTGTGGTAAAAATAAATATAGCATAACAGTTGATGGTTTTCTATTTAAGAGGTTTAATTCTCTGGCCCTGGGTATTTTTTCCTTTCTTTTCTTTACTGCATTAAAAAAAAAAAATTATCTGTAGCTGGGCAGTGTTGATGCACACTTTTAATCCCAGAGGCAGGCTGATCTCTGTGAGTTCGAGGCCAGCCTGGACTACAAAGCGAGTCCAGGACAGCCAAGGCTACACAGAGAAGCCCTGTCATGAAAAACTAAAACAAACAAACTACCAAACAGTACTTATGTGTTTGGGGAATATGCATGTGAGGTCAGAGGACAACTGTGGTAGTTGGATCTCTTCTTCTACCACGTGGGGACTGAACTTAAATCGTTAGGCTTGGTGGCGAGCAACTTTTCTGGCTGAGCAGTCTGACCAGAGCGCCCACACCTGCTCCTGGCACTAGGAGCAGAACCCATGTCCTCATAAGAGCCAAACGAGTACTTACCACTCTATCTCTCTCTCTCTCACACATGCATTTTTCTTCACATTTTAAAATTACTTTTTTGTATCCATCATTAAGCTTATACTTTAATTACTAATTACATAATTATGTGTTGGTGCCTGTCTTCTTGGCTCATAGGTAAGCTCCTTAAGGCAAAGACTCGCTTCGTGGTCCATGATGTTCTCTAGCGCTGAGTGCAATTCCTGAATATTCAACAATATTTTGAATGAATGAGTGTATTATAAAACAGGGAAACAATGGAGATACCAACGCGTGAAGAAGAAAGGAAAGACAAGTCCCACTTCCGTACTATGCAAAGTGGGCAGTGGGAGTCCGTAAGAACACCTGAACCGGAAGGTCCTGTGTGTTCCAGGAGCTGAGGATACTTGGACATGTAGTACCTTCCCACTCTGATTGCTCCTCTTGGGCTAGCGCGTCCTGAGATGGACCGCTCTCTCCTTGCCATCCTTGGCAAGCTTTGTGCTTGAGGACAGCCTTTCTTGCCTAGCTTGCTGCAGCCTCCTGGACTGTCTTCTGTGATGAGCTCTCTGGTGGGGTGGGGGGAGCCCCTTCCACATCCGCTTTTGTCAGGCAGAGCTGAGAGAGTAACGGGTGACTCAGGGTGACTCTGGGAAGTTTGGAGCCAGCCATTCGACGGACCCATCTCCTGCCTCCCTTCTCCCAGCTGTCGAATATCTGGTCCTCTTGTGGCCACCACCATACCCATTACTTTCTTCCCCCTGACAGCCACCTGCTATGAGTGGCTCTGTGGCCTTCAAAGGATGAAGGGATGAAGCTATCTGCTTCCTCTACCTCTCTGGCTGGCTGCCCTAGGCCTGCCGATCATAAGTAAGGCCCATCAGACTCTAGGCCCCTGAGTTACCCAGCCTTCTGGTCTGTTCCTCCGCCTCCAGCCAAGCCCTCTTCAGCTGTGGGAGGAGAGAAGGAGCAAGGATCTCTCAGTTTATAGGAAGTTTCTGGCACGACCACCCCTGCCAGATGCCCAGGAGCAGCTCTCCCTGGCCACAGATGTGCCAGCTTCGGTGCCTCCAATAAGGGAGCCACGATCTCTCCTTGCAGCTACACTGCAAGGCTTCTAGGATACATTCACCTGCCCTGCTGGACATATGGGGAAACTGAGGCTCAGAGAAGGTACGTCTTGCCTTGAGTCACAGGGTAAGCCAGGAGCAGAGCCTGACCAGAGCCCAAGTCATGAGTTTTGCAGCCTTCTGCAGAGATGTCCTGAGGTTTGCTCTGGGGTTTGCTGTACCTGTGGTGTGTGACCCCGGAGCCCTGAAGCCATCTTCATGCATGAGCAAGGTCAAGTGAGGTCAGACCTTTCATCTTTAATTGCACGGAGAGACACACTGAAACTCAGAGTGGCTCAACAATCCACCCGAATTCACTCAGAAAGAAAGTTGTGGAGCTGATACTCCAGCCGTGGGCTTTCTGTCTTCGTCTGACTTGAAGGGCCCTGAACCTGTGCTGCCTTCCATGACAGAGCCCTTCCCTGTCCAAACTGAAGCTAGTCACCAGGCTTGACCTCCATGTTATCAGTGAAGCAGAACCAGGGCCTATGCGCTCAGGCGTTCGGCTTCCTCCCTAGTGGCCAAGCCCCCGTCAATACAGGCCTGATACGTGGACTTCAGCAAACCCTGGGCTCACTGACCCTACCCAGCCCCTCATTCAGTAGAACCTGGGTCTTTGAGAACCAGTAGATGTCAGTCTTTATTTCCAAGGGCTGAACTTCTCAGACACCCGTGTGCACCACCTGTGCTGGCGGGCTAGCCCCTGCTCTCTGAGCTCAGCGAGGGCTCCCAGGGCAGATCTAGAGCGTCCAAGGGCCCAGGCCTTTCTGTTCCAACAGCCCATGTTCAGAGCCATAGCTGTTCTCCTCCAATTGCTGTTCCTACAGGGGAAGGGTGATCAGCATCTGGGTGATCATAGCCCACGTTGGCCTGGCGAGTTTGTCCAGAGGATCTAATGGGGCGTATTAACACGTCTTCCATCTGCCCCACCTCTCCGCACAGTTCTTATGAGGACAGCCGCCATGTTCTTGTAGCTCAAACTCTTGCAGGTTCTGCGCGTTATCAGGCCTCAGCACTTACCCTTAAACTACCCCGTATGCAACCCACCTGCTTGGCACACTGCTGTCCCTGAGCCCTTGACCTCCACTATTCTGCTCTTACTCCCTCACAGGGTACAGATGCACTTTCTCCATAGCAGAGGATTTGGACAACCTCAGTTACTGCTCATGTACTGACAGAGAGGGCCAGGGCTTGCCAAGGTCATTGCAGGCTAGAGCTGGGACCATGGATGGTCACCTAAACTTACCGATCATTGACTCCACCTCCGACCCCGGGAAGACAGAGGGACATGTTTGTTGACTAAAAACTTTTCTTAATACCAATGTGACTCATTCCTCCGTCGAATCTCTACCGGCCACCAGAGGAACAGCCATGCTGAAAAGCCCTCCAAAAGATGAGGGTCCCTGCCCCATTCCTTTTCCTTCACAGGGATCAGGCGAAGAAGCCAAGGCTCAGAAGGACACGCCGCTTGCCCCAGGGCTTCGGCAGGGTAAACCCGGCCTGAGCAACACGGGCTGAGACCCCGAGTTCTGGACTCACCCAGTTTGCGAGTTGTCTTGGGTGGGTCCCATGCTGGCGCCCTGCTGCTGATCGTCTCTGCTGTCAGGCATGTCGGAGTCCCTGGACAGACAGCAGTGCCCTGCTTCAGAACCTCGTGGCATCTGCTGTGGGCATTCACTGAAGACAGTGCGGTCTCCCACAGTGAAAGGCTGGCCTTGAGTGGGCAGTAGGGGCGGGCAGGGGCAGAGGTAGGCGGGGCCTGGAGTGACCCACAGGGCCCCATTTCCTCTCTGTTTTCAGAGGCTCAGAATGTTCCTAGGCAGTGAAGTTGCTCGGGACTAAAACTTTCCTTTTCTTCCTGGTTTCGCCACACTCAAGATGAGGAGAATTTCAATGAAGCCAGCCTTCATTTTTATGCAAATCGGCCCGGGTTCTCCCAGAAGGTCTGGCCAATGGGCTTAGGGCTTCTAGGCCCCAGAAAACCTCCTTACTGTCTTTAAAGGGGCTCTTTGGAGCAAAGGGGTTCCCAGAACAAATCCGGACCCTGAGCCTGAGGTGGCTGCTGGTCCCCGGTGCCTATGCAGCAACCTCAGCTTGAACAAACCAAGGCAACACAGGAGGGGTTGTCTGGGGCCTCTGGCTCCAGATCTCGTACTGCACACTTCAGGAGAGCCCACAGGTCCTGCTTTCGAAAAGCCCAGTACTGGGGGGCCAACGCGAAATTGCCAATAGGGAGAACTACCATATAGCTCACAGAAGCATCTTCACTAAAGCAGGCCTAAGAGGGAACCCCAAAACAGGGCCATCAGTGACACCTAGGCACAACAAGGATTCACCCCTTTAGTGTAAGGAGGAAAGGCTAGTTGGCAGGCAGCCATGAGCAGAGGCAGGAAATGCACAGGGCAGGCACTTGCCTCTGACTACCAGGAAGTTCCTCTAAGGTGAGCTATATATTCACTCCTGTGGCTGGCATCACAGAAACCCTTAATCTAGATGGCTTAGAGGGCCGCAAATGCATTCTCTCATAGTTCTGGAGGCCAGGGGCCTGAAATCCAGGTGTGAAAGGACCTCGCTCTCAGGAAGGCCGCTTGCCTCTGTCCTGGTTTCTGCAGGCCTTGGCCCCTGCTTGTGTTCCTTGGCTTCTCCACTTCCCTACAGCCGTCTTCCCCTCTGTCAATATCTCTGTTTTCTTCCAAGGGCATCAGACACTAGGCTGAGGCCCATCACAATCCTGTGTGAGTTCATCTTAGCTGATTGCACCTGCATAAACCCCACTTCCAAGCCAGGCTGCTCTCTGGGGCTCTGCGTGGACCTTAATTTGGGGCAGGCAAATTTTAGCTCAGTGCAGATTGTGCACAAAAGGTTTTGGCAGGGGTTCCAATTGTAACTGGGGAAATCGGGGTTCCCTCCGTCAGTCTGTGGTCTTGTTAATGAGAGAATTTAGAAACAGACATAGAAGGAAGCCTGAAAATGACTTTATTATAATTTGGGAGAAAAACAGCATGGCAGGTAAGGTTAAAAAATATCCTGACATGTGCTAGAGGAGGGCCGTGGAAGGTCAAGTTTACGTTAGGAATGAGGGTCGGAGAAGTGGTGAGCGATAGAGCATAGTCAGGCTTTTGGCTGGGATCTAAACCACAGGTAAGAAGAAGGAGAAAGAAAAACGGGTCTAATACCAGACTGCAGATAGGAATTCATAGGGTTGGGGGATGGGGTCCCTGAAAGCTGTACTGGCAGCAGAGAAAGATGAATCAAGGGAGGCCAGAAGAAAACGTAGTTCAGCATGACTTAGCTAGGTGGGCTGGTTCAAACGTCTAGAGTCTGACCCCAAGCAGTTTATTTTTGGTATATTTAAACACAGTACAGCTTTGGGGGGGAGGTATAGTTTCCTCTTGACAAGTATCACAACAAAGCTTAAGGCATGGCCACATCTAAGCTCCTTCGTAAAGCACATGTCTTTTGCTAAGTACCTTCCACTAGAATACATTCTACTGACTGAGAACCAATATTCAGGTTGAGGGTCTGGGGAGGAAGATTTGTAATAAACATGACAGCAAACTCTTTTGCAAAGAACACATTATTTGGGCGAGGCCTGGCTCTGCAGATAATAAAGGTACCGAGGTTATTAACACATCTAGTCCCAACCTTCTGGATGGGAAGCAGGCATGCACATCCCTTCCGTTGAAGAGAAAGGCCTGCATGTTTAACAGTCTCAGATTCTCTGTTGCTATCTGTAAATACATGGACCAGGCTCTTTTGTCTCCCAAGACAAAAGATTACACCAAGGACAAGTGACTAGAAACAGATATAGAGACCATTTATTGAAAAAGAGAAAACTGTCTCAAGAGTAAGAGTGAGCTGTGGGGCACGTGGACAGTGCCACCAGAAGCTGGCATGGAACGGGCCAGGTGGAGCATGTTCAAACCCCGGAAATCTCAAACCTGAGATCCCAAATCTCGTCATGAGTCGGCAGGAGTGGGACTGCTCCCTCCTGCCTCTGTGGTCACAGGAATTCTCCCCCAGGTAAACCAGCATCTTAGCCCCAGCCAGGAACCCCTCCCCACTCCCCAAGATTCTTCACCCAGGAATAAAAGCACATGTAAGGTTTTTCACTGAATGTCGTCTAAGAGCTGCTGTTTTCATCCTCAGAGAAGGTCCCGTACTGTCCCCCATCCACTGTCCCACCTCCATCCCTGTGTCTGTGTCCCCCATTCCCCCCCCCCTGCCCCCCCAGCCAGACTGGAATCCTGTAGACCCCCCCCCCCCCCCCAACACACACACAGTTCCGGACTCTGCTTCATCCTTCTCTGCTCAGTGTCTGGTGGTGTCTGGTCACCAAACACCTTGGTGTGGCTTTCAATGATCTCCACTCTGCTGTCACCCTAAGAGATGTCCCCAAGAAGATCAACGAGTCTGCTGGGCACAGGTGATGCTACTCTGGGTGACTAAGAAATACGGGCCTGTCCCCAAGCAATTCAGGGCCACATCCCCCCACTGCTGCCTCCACAGTACAGTTGAGGGACTGGGCAGGAGGCCCAAGTCTGCCTCAAGATTCCCTTTCGCTTTGTACTGATCCCCGTGTCTCCCTGGGCCTCAGTTTGAACTCTGTAGGTCATGATGTGATGGCCTGGAGGCCGCCCAAAGTGACCGTCAGCTCCAACTGGACATGAGGAAGAATGGGGAGAGCTTTGCCAGGGGCTGATTGGCTGATCGGAAGTGACGCCGGTGTGACCCCACTGTGGAGGAGCTGAATCAGAAGGTGGAAGGGACGTTGAATTGTTGGCTTTTAAGTTCAGAAGACTTGTTCAAGATGAAAGCTGGGGAAAGGTTTGGCGAGATGAGTGACGTGGGGTCCGGGGTCTGGGAGACCTGACTGGCCCTTGCTTGGGTCAGTGAGGGCTGAGGATGGTAGTAACCGGCAAATTGATGAAGCTCCATGGTGCCCAGGAAATGCCACAGAGGAATGAATACCAGAGGCAACAAGGTCCGGGCAGCCCTATGTCCCAGAGCGGGAGGTGGCCTTTATGTCAGTCGGTGTGAGCAGAGGGTGGGCGGGTGGGCAACAGGGGCTGATGAGAACCGACCCTTAGTCACGTAGGGAGGCTGCTCTAGCCGAGTCTGAAAATGGCAGTTTAGTTTCCTCCTGCAAAACAAATACAGCGATCATGGTGGTTACTCTGTCTGCCAGAGTCCCTAAGTCCGTTTTCCTGGCTGCTGCCCTAGACTGAAAGGGCTAACCCTGGATGCCTCCACCCTGGGATTCCCTGGCCTCTGGTCTCTGGGTAAGTTAGGCCAAGTCAGCGTGGTGGTGGGAGAGCAGAAGGGGCTAAGAGCGTGCTGTATTTGGTGCTCTGAGTGGTGTATGTATCTGTGCTTGTGGGTATATGCATGTGTGAAGGGTTGAGAGGCACGGGGAGGGGGTGTCAGGTGTCTTCTATTTCTTTCTTCTCTGTTCCCCTGAGGCCTAAGCCTCAGATTCAGCTAGGCTAGCTGTCCAGCAAGTCCCAGGCGTCCTCTCCTTTCTGCCCGTCCCCGACCCCACCGGGCCGAGATTGCAGGATGGGCTTTCTCCTGAGTGCTGGGGGCTCTGAACTCAGGTCCCCAAGCTGTGCAGCAAACACTCTTGCCCATTTAGTCATTTCTTCAGCTCTGAATTTGACATTTTGATGCCTCTCCCTTCCTCCCTCCCACCCTCTCTCCCTCCCTCCCTCCTTCCTTCCCTTCCTCCCTTCCTCTCTCCCTGTGGCTACACTTTTGGCAGCAGCAAAGTCCTTGTCCTTGTAACTAGCTACATTCATACTGTGCAGTTCCTCCCTGGCCCCAGGTAGGGGAGAAGTTCCCCCAACCACAACCTTCACAGAGAGCTGCATCTGACAGGGCAGATGGGAGTAGACGGGGGCGGACACAGTGAGGTCTAGTGAGACTCAGACCTGAGCTCAGCTCCTGGTCCTTCTGCTGAGGAGCTGTGTGATCTTGACCAAGACCCCCCATATCTCCTAGCCTAAGCTGTTGCTGCAAAGGTGGGTTAATACCACCATTTCACAGCACTGTAGGCCAGGAATGAATTGGATGATTGGGAAGACATCAGTGGGAAAGACGCTCTGGGTTACTACGACACACATAAAATAATAATAAAAAAAAAACCCTGAAAATTATCTTTATTAAGCTGAGTTTTATTTTTAGTTTAAAAAAATCTTCAGTTTGCCTTAAATTTGTCAGTTGTTCTTTTAAAGGGGCAGCAGGTGAATAAGACCTTGGTGACCCCTCTTCTCTTTTAGTCCTTGTGTCTCTCTTTTAAAATATTTTTATTTTATACCACTCCTAGGTATATACCCAAAATTTGCTCAAGTACACAACAAGGACATTTGTTCAACCATGTTCGTAGCAGCTTTATTTGTAATAGCCAGAACTTGGAAACAACCCAGATGTCCATCAACGGAGGAATGGATACAGAAATTGTGGTATTTTTACACAATGGAATACTACTCAGCAATCAAAAAGGAGGAAATCATGAAATTTGCAGGCAAGTGGTGGGATCTAGAAAAGATCATTCTGAGTGAAGTATCCCAGAAGGAGAAAGACAAACTTGATATATACTCGCTTATATAGACCTACAAGACATGATAAACATAATGAAATCTACACACCTAAAGAAGATAATCAAGAAAGTGGACACAGGCGAAGGTGATTAATCCTCATTTAGA